ATAGATTGAAAATGTATAATCGTAAATTTAGATAAATTCAAGATAGTCCCATGATGTGCTGTTAAACAAATCGGGAACCCTTAAGATGTTCCGCGAATTTCAGGGAAGTACAGAGACCTTCAGAAAATTTATGAAAACTTCAGAAAAATTTCAGAAACTTTGCAGAGGTCCAGAGAATTTCAGGGAAATTTATAGAAGTTTACGGGAATTCTATTTATTTCTGAGCAGAACCAAGATCTTCAATAGAACTAAGAGCTTTATGGTAACTTCGAGAACATCAAGACAGGTCAGAGAATCAAAGGGCAGTTCAAATAATTTCAAGGAAATATTAGAAAGCTTAAAGATGTTTCGTGAAACTCATTGAGTTTCCGAAAACTTCAGGAAAGCTCCGAGAGAATTCCTAGAAATTTTGTGAACAACCGGAAAACGTGAGAATATTTTAAGGCTGTTATTTCTTGGAGATTTCAAGAACTTAAAAAAATGCGAAAATTTAGCTAAGTTGATTAGAGAACATCAACAAAGTTCCATTAATTAAACAAGCTTCGGAAAACTTCACAGAGGGACAGTGGTCTACAAAAACAGAAACAAAATATTTATTTTTTAAGTTTATTTATTACTGAAGATTAATCCACTGTGAATCTTTAAAGTTCAAAATGTGAATAAAAATAACGAGAAAAATTAAATGGTTTTATTTTAAAATTCATTATTTTCTTTAAAATGTCCTTAATAAGATAATTTTTAAATTCTTTGAGACTTCCAGGTATTTTAAGAAAACAAAAAAAAAATCCTGAGAATTCTCGGTTTTCCTGATTTTTGAAGTTAATAGACACCGTGACTAATACCGTGGGTTTGGTTATAAACTTTCTATTAAATCTTTCGCTTTAAAGGTTCATATCGTACATAAATAAACGCGATACTAATTGAATAAGTCTAAAACAGCAAACATTTATTTGATGCGTCTTTTCTTAGGTCACTTAAAGTCACTATTTTGACAACTATAAGTCACTATTTGGTCACTTATTTATTCAACATGGTCACTAAAATCACTATTTCTGACAGCAATGATCGCTACCAGCCCTGTTATTTGCATTAAATTACATTCAATTAACATAATTTTCGTAATCAATCCAATGCAATTAGATCGAAGAGACGAAGAAAGTTTACATCTGTAAATAGGCAATACTCGATAACAACGCTATTGATTGGCTTCTAACTGACTTGAAAATACAAGTTAAAAAAATTATTTGAATAGCCAAGCCCCCGGTTGAGCTAGTCGAAAAAAGAATACCCACACGTCAAACTCCGTCAAGCATTTAAACAGCGGAGGAGCAAATTGAGGCCCAGATAATTTTTCGTCTACAAATTATCTGGGCCTCAATTGTTTACATCTCATTGTGCATTATCTTGACTATTGACAATTCGCTTTATCGGTCACTCTGTAACTCTTTACTCCTATGATAAAATCCCATAAGCAAACATCAGTCTGTGCGTGAAACTTGGTCAACATTTCCGTACCCTTCACTCCTATGAAAATCCCATAAGATCCTGTCAATCTTTGCACGAAAAGACGGCGGCTGGCTGGCTGGTGACAAAGTCCGCTAGATTCCATGCACAGATTGTCAGATACTTATGGAATTTTACCGGGAGTAAAGAGTTGCAGAGTCGCCGTCAACGTCAATACTTACTGAACATACAACCATAGAGGTAACTCTAAGACCAGAAGGTCCCGAAGAAACGTACTCAACTTTTTGGCTCAGCTCTGGTACTCTCTTCGGTCCCAAGCTAATTGATGCACCCCTCGAAACATAGGAAATTCCACGAGCCCCTCATTTTAATTGTCAAACTCAAACTGTCAAACTCAAAACAAACATAGTGTAGTACTAGAATTTCGATTAGACTGGGATACTTTAATCGATTTGCTTAGGACCAATAGGCTAGCCAAGTAGTGAGCCAATTTAAAATCGTTAGTTTCCACCGGATACAACCATATAATATATTATCTGCTTTTCTTTCGTAAGGGCCAATGCCGCAAACGTACACAATTGCTTTTTGCGTGAATTACTCAAAAAAGAAAACTCTCTCAAGTAAACCACCGCGATGATTGTGTAGAGAAAGAGTCCTCCTATCCGATCAAATTGGTGGCTTACATGGATTGATTTTGATATACGAGAAATTTACGGAAGAAGCCATTATTTATGTTTTCGACATTGGTCCTTTAAACGCTCAGTGTCGATATCACGAAAATTTTATTTTGACAGATCGATGTCCAACTATACCACTGAGGCAACACAAAAAAGGGGTGAACTTTGAGTCAGCTATTTTGAATGAAATTCCACATATGTTATGTGCACTAACTCAGGTTCAAAACCGGAAACGACATAAAAATAGGCATTTAAATGCCAACGCAAAACCACCAAAAACACCACAGCGGCATTAAAAAATGTCAATAACGTGTTCTAAACATATGTATCCTATTGCTTACCCTCTCCACTCACAATACCGGGACACTTATGAGGAGTTCAGTACTAAAAATGCAAGGATGTGGCTACGAGAGTTCTTGATCGTTTGCCGTTGTATAACGATAGCGTCCATCCCACGGGTAGTGATTAATCTCCATTTACTATATATGACGTAACGGATGAACGTTTACATCACCCGTACAGTGACCTAGAACTCGTACCACAGCGATGCGTGGCTGGATAACTCATCAGCATGGGGAAAGGAAGCTATCATTTTGCTGGAAAACTGGATGCGTCCACTCGATTCCATATTCGTAGATTAAACAAAATAGATACTTATAGTAAAAACGAAACTTCCAACCGGACTCCACTCTCACTTTCGCATCAATGTCAACGACGACGAGAAACCGCATGATCCAATCTGTCTTGCAGACTTTCCAGGCAGTCCTATCCTGCTTCAGTACTGCTGCAAGAACCGTCATCGCCATCGATGGCAAAGCAAGGAAAAATACAAACCGAAACTAAACCACCATCAAACCATGAAACAACCATCGGCAGAAGAAAAAGCACAACTCGCAAAACTAGGGCAATAATTTACAACAAGCGAAAGTAAAAGTTCTATAAATTAATGCGACTAGTAGCATAAAGAATAGAGCAGCAAAACTATCAGAAAAAAAAGCTCCATTCAAAGAAGAAAAAAGAACTAACTGGCCACTTTTTGCCGCCAGCAGCTAGCCAGCAGTCAGTCCTTACGTCATCTCTGCTCTCTGCTCGCTCGGGTCTGCCCCGTCTAGTTCCCGCCCGCCTCCTCCTCCTCATCCCTCCTCCGAAGGAACGGTTGTTTGATGGCGCAACCGAGCTCTGCTCTAGTCAAGACGGAGAATGTCCCGTCGGGACGTGCACAGAATCCCAGAATCGATAGTGTGGAGACATGCACAGCAGCGCCACCACCCCGTTGTCGTACATATGGAGCGGACGACGGACGAACGGTTGGTGATGATGATGATTGCAAAAAGATCCAAGGGAGAAAACACCACCCTTGGGTGAACGGACAGACGAACACAGAAAAATTCGCTGCAGCAGAAAGACGGATCGGGAGGACAAAAATAAAATAAAATAACGAAGAGTGTACGGGGGATAAAAATCACGGGATCGTAAAGCATCAGTTGAAAAATAAAAACAGATCTGTGTCAGAAGCGAGGAACAACGAGAACCGACCCCTGCGAATTCCTTGCAGCGACGACAAAAAAAAAGCGAAACATCATGTATTGAGTGAAGAAGAGGAATAAAAGGAAGCGAAGAAGATGCAGCAACCCTCGCCGAACGCCGAGGGTGGTATTGAGGGAAGCAGAAACACTGAAGCCTAGCTGACCAGCATGTGCAGGTCATCTTCCCACTGTCCCTGACTGCCTGCATTGAACCTTCGGAGAAAAATAATCACGGAGAAGAAGCAATAAATTTTTGCCTACACCAATACACATGTGTGTGTGTGTGTGTGTTTATGTGAGAAAAGTGTCCTTTTCTTGAGCGCTATGTAAAAACATAGAGGGAAGAAAAATCAGCAACGGAAATGTCCACTACAAACTGCCACATACAAACGGCGAACGGTGAGGATTTTATGTGCAAATTGTAAACAACGGAACGAGCGTTGCTGGACACGAACCGCTCACCAATACCAGCGCGCAGCCAGAAGAACATAGAAGGAATTTTTATGAATGAACGTACCCGACCGAAAACGACCACCGGAGCTCGTGTCACGTTCGGGTTCTACTACTGCTCTACCGAACCGGAGAGAGCGGCTCTCTTTCGAGAGCGCATGGAAGCATGTTTGCGAAAAAGCACATGTTTGGGTGCAACACTTTTCCCAAAACGTTGTCCGTTTTTCTTTTTCTTTTGGTATGCGCAGAAATTGCATCGTAGTGCTTTCATCTTAAGGAACCCACATGCTTGAGAAAGAGCGAGATGATACGATCGTTGGCGGCGCTTGCTCATCTCTGGGAGCAAGCGAAATGACTACAGGTGTAAAAAAAGCTCCTTTTTGCGCGATGGGCGGTAACGTTGCTCTCTTTCTCGCGACGGAGCTTGGATGCAATCTCTTTTTTTTTTGTTTGCGTCTTGCATCCCGGAATAAAAAGACCTATGTGCATCGACCGCCGACGCATCCGGCAGTTACCAAGACGCATACACTTGCATAATCGCATACTGCACTTTTCTGACTTCAGGTCATCTTTTTCTCACTCTCACTATCCCAATCTCGGGTAGCTTTTTTCACGGATTCAGACACGCGTGAACTCGCTCAACTCAAGGTAGAAAAACGAGAAGGAGGGATCTAATGGGCACATGATTTATGACAGGTAACCTCTGACTCTGACGATGGGGACCAATGCCTATGGATATAGGTAGATTCTGTTTCGAGACCGACGCACTTTTCCCCAAATTCTATCATGGTTGTAGTAGTATTAGTAGTCGTCTTAGTCGTAGTTCACCGCGCGCTGACTGGTCACTGACTTATTGTTCTTCTTTCCGTTTTTCCATCCGCAGATTCACGCACGACGACGCACTTCAAGATGATGATGGCAACGAAAGGAAAACGCCCCTTGCGGCACCTGACGGCAACGGACAAGATCGACGCCATCCAGCGGATTCACGACGGCGAATCCAAGGCATCGGTTGCCCGGGATATCGGAGTTCCGGAGTCGACCCTGCGAGGTTGGTGCAAGAATGAGGAAAAACTGCGCTACATGTCCCGGCAGTCGGCGGAGAATGCCGAAAAGCTGACCAGCGAAGCAACGGCTGCCGCCCTGACAGCCGTGGCCGCCGCAGAACTGTTCAACGGACCTCCGGAGAAGCGGATGAAGCTGGAGCAGGGACTGTTCGGGAACGGGAAGCTCAAATACGACGACAGCTTCTACAAGAGCGCTCGGGGACCGATGAATGGGCTGGATCTCAGTGGAGGCGATAAGGGATTGGGAGTTTCCGGAGGGGATATCATCATGAACGGACTGCACGGTGCGGACTTCAGTTCGTTTGCTAAGACAGCGGCCGAGATCTCCGCGCTGAGTAAATCCAAGGAACTCAACCTCAAAGGATACGGTGCAGATCATAGCAAACACGGCGATCTCAACAAGGCAGAGCTCTCGATGGCGGCCATCAGTCCGCTAACCAGCCTGGGTCACCTATCCGGAATGTCCAGTCTTGCCCAGAGTCCACTGGCAATGAGTTTCAACGAAATTGCCAACAATCTGAATCTCTTTGCACAGCTCAACAATAACCACAACTTGGCCACCATGTCCAACCTGGGTGGACTCAGTGCAGCTCAATCGCTCCGGAATGCACGCCCCAAGGGCAACTCTAGTCAGAGCCCCCGCACTGCGAGCCTGTCGGAATCCAACGGCGACAAAACTCCGTCGCTGACGGTTCGCAACTTGGCCAAACTGCAACAGAAAAATTCGGGCGGCGATCTCAGTAACGGTATGATGCATGGTATCAATCTAGCCGACAAATATAAACAACAACAACAACAGCAGCACCCATCTGCTGCTCCCCTAAGTCGAGAAACGAACGCCCCGGACAACGATGCACTCTGGTATTGGTTGAAATCTCAACAGGCCATGCTCGGACTGAACAATCTCTACTCGGCGATGCCCCGCCCCTCGAGTCCTCAGCAAAGTTCTTCTCCACCACAGCAGCATCAGCAGGTCCAGCATCATCCATCGACCCAAACCCCAACGCCGCCGATCGTGTCCACCCCGCAGCCAACGCCACCCTCCTCCGCCCCGTCCCTGACGCCGGAGGACACCAAAAACTCCTCCTGGTTCTGGCAGTGGTACAAAACCTTCGGAGCTTCTCTGATGCCCGGCGACAAATCCAACAACAACACCATCAACGCCAATGCCAACTCCAAGCAGACCTCCTACGAAAACATCCTCTACTCTCAGCTCACCAAAGGCCAAAATTCCGACTCGCTCAACAACAATGCTCAACCCATCAACCTTAACATCAGTAGCTCAAACGGTCCGGAGAACCTCAAATCCGAACCCGAAGATCTCTCCAACCACAACCACTCAGCTTCTAACGCCGCCGTACCCGAGGATCATCAACGCTTCAACCCAAGCCCGTCTACTTCCGCCAAATCCGAGTTGAAACATGATGACGATGAAGATCATCCCACCGGTCCGGGTGAATACGAACCCCCAGCGGAATCCAAATGCAACGGCAAAGTGAAGGACGTACTGGACAACTTCCTGTTCCAGAATCACAACAGCAACGACCGTGCCAGCCCGGCCAACTTATCGGTTCGCTCCGCCACCTCTCCCCGCCGTCGCTCGGTAAGTCCTGCTGTCAGCCACAACCACAACGCCAACAGTCCCGATCCTGACAACGGTGACCTGGCCGTCACCACCAATGGCATCACGGACGAGCACAAGAGTGACATCTCCGAGGATTCCAACCATCTGCTGGTGGTGGACATCAAAAGCTCGGCCGACGCCGTCGAACACGGTGAGAAGTTCCTCAAGTGGCTGGAAGCGTGCAGCGATCCGAACGTGACCGCCATGCAGGTCATGCAGTTCAAATATCTACTCAACAGCATCAAACTGAGTGCCGAACGGCAGCAGCACAACGCCGCCACCAGCGGAGAGGAACGCACTCGAGTACGACGACGGAAGTAGATCCTTCTCCCAAGCCCTTAGATCCGTGTACATAGTCCCACCCCTCCCAAAAGTCCAGTCGAAATCAAAAGATAGAATGCAAAGAATCACTCTGAACCCGATATCATTAGTCCTACTCTCACCTGGTCACTCACTCTCTCCCTCTCTCGCTCGCCCGTTGAATCTCTCCAACTTCGAATAACCGAGAGACGCCGGCGGAGCGCAGTTGACCAGAGTTGAGGCTAGCAGTAGCAAACTCGTATCGACATAAGTAGTTAAATTTTTCTCAATTTTTTATGAAGTCTATTATTTTGTTTACTATCATTATTTTATACAAATACTATCTAACGAACGAAGGCAAAACAGAGAACTCATTATCAGACAACGCTTTTTTCCAGTTGTCCGTTGCTATCGCAAAGGTGTAAATAATACTCATTGTTTATCTAGAGAAAGAGAAGTTGATATCGCAAAACTTTTGACTAAGTAAGAATACAACATGCCAAATGTACAAGTTATCAAGATATTAATCTATGAAGAAAAAAAAAATCCGTATATCGCTATTGCATAAACAAACAAAAATCAACCTATAAATGTAAGAAACTTTGGAAATCAGTTGTCCAAAACAAAATCGAATTACAAAGTGAAATTAGCAAAACTATGTAAACAAGCAAACAAACACATACACACACAGCCAGGCAAAGTGGTCTCGTGTCAAAGATCTCGTATTTTCATTTCGAAAATTCTCAACTTTTCACAACTGCAAATTCTGCTCAAAGTCCAAAGAAAGAGTAACCAAACGCTGGAAGCTTTTCGGTTCGTGGCGACACAATTTGATTAATTTTTAGGGCAAAACACATTCCCCTCGAAAAACAAATAAAAAAAAACGTAAGAGGATCCTCCAAAAACAAAAGGAAGGCCATCATTATCATTCATCCTGTAGAATTAAGGAGATGCAACTTTTGAAAAGTTACATTTAAGAGCACTATATATATATAAAAAAAAAGAAACTGTCAGGAAAACAAAAATCGTTTGGATAACAACATACACTATTTTGGCAGAAACGAAGAGAATAAAAAAAAAAAACACTTAACACAACTCGAAAACAGAAGGGACAAATTCAATGTGATTAAAATTAAACTGTATTCCTACAATCGTACAGGACGAAGTGAAGCTAACAAAAAAAAACAATTACTCGGAAAACGGTGTCAAACATTTCGACGATAGACCAGCCTAGAGAGCAACAGCGGTGTTTGCGTGGAAGCAAGAGCTCACCGTCGCGAGGCGGACGAATTAAAAAAAGAAAGAAAGAAGAATGAATTATTAAATGAATTAAAGAAAATTAAAGTGAATAAAATGTTACATTTAAAACTATGAGAGACCGATCGAGTAGCAGACGAAGCGAAGGGATACTAATTATTGGTAACTATAATGGAAAATTATTGAACCACAGATGACAAAAGCTAGAGATAAAAATGGAAAAATAAATTATCAAATGATTTCTCAATATCAGAAAAAAAATAAACCAGCACATGGTGTTTGCTTCTACGGTGGAACGGAAAAGAAATTTAACAGGTGTGGGAAAGTGGGCCCATGATCTTAAAAAAATGGTCAACTTTTCCCAACTCGACGTTAAAAGGAAGCATCGAGTTATTGAGGTAAATTAACGAAATTAGAATCGGAAAAGTTATGACGGTATTACAGGCTTCAATCGAGTTCAGGAAAATAAAGTGGGGCATCTTTAAAATATAATTATTTCCATGGGGTATCGAAAATTCTCAAACTCGAGAAAATCTAATGCTTTCTACGTCCATTCTAGTGGTAAGGTGGGCAAGATGGGTCATCTACTCGATTTATTTATTTTGTTTGTGAAACTCAACAAGCTCAATGTAGCTCCAATGCTGGTTTGAAAATGCAAACCATTATTGCAGTGCTGGTAGTAGGTCACTTTTTTCCAGCCGGTCACTTTAAAGTCACTGTTTTCGTGAAAAGGGTCACTTAAGTCACTTTTTCTCGTTTCCAAACTTAGTTTGCTTGTATTGTCCTTAAGGAGAGGTTCTTATTCAAATCGCCAAAAAGTAAGCAAAGTTTGCCATTGTTTTTGTGGGCCAATGAAAAACATAGGAGGAGCCATTTTCGTGTTATGATTTAGAGAAAAATATCAAATAAGTAATTTTACAAAATTAGACGCTAGTCAAAATGGCCGAATTCCAGCACAAGCTTACACACTTAATTCAGATCACCGAAGTCGGTAGGATTTTACCGGGTTTTTGAACAGCAGAACAAGTCGGTAAAATTTTCAAATGACCGTTACACGTGAGAAATCAAGAAAATTTCTAAATTTTATTTTTCACCGATAAATGGGGTAAACTGAACAAATTCTGTATAAGTTCGGAATAAATTTTTTAATAATTGGGTTTTTCACTGATTTTTAAACTTTTACCGAAAAGTTCTGTAGTTCAAAATTTACCGAACGACGGAGGCCTGGATTAGTGTGATAGTGTAGTGCCCCCTAGCAAACAATCATTTATTTGTTTTTCGTCTAGAATTTATAAAAACTCCACAGACTGATTCTTAACCTAAGCTCCTAATTCTACTTTTGAATACAAACTTGGACAAATTAAAATCAAAGACTGCACTAACATTGTGAAATGCCCTAACACAATTATCAATAGGATTGTTATACTCGTACGTTGTTCTAATTTAATCTGTAAGGCCTATCAACTAGCCTATTCTCTGTTGTTGACCGAACGGATGGGCGTAGATTCAAATGATTGCAGTCAAGTTACGTACAAGTATAAAGTCAGATCGCTGAAATTGATCCACAAGCAGGCTTGCCAAAAGCTCCATCAAGAGTTATCAATAAGCTGAGCTCCAGCATATTTTGATGATGAAATATTTTGCTCTCACGGAGCTATACTTGATGCTCAAGCTGGGCTTTTGCCAACCCGCATCTTTGTGAGGGCTGCGGAGCTCGTTCCCGGGTGTACATCGACTCTGCCTGCCGAGCAGAAACTTTTACTTCGTGATGCGCTCGCGCAAAGCAGTAAACTTGGACCTTCGTGATGTATTCGTAGAGAGCTTGGCTCTTGATGGCTTCTCCCATTGCGCATGAATGAGTGATTTTGTATAGCGCGTTTCACACCAAATTGGACTAATAAGCGCGTTTTCACTTATTAAAAAGTGTGATAAAACTGCAAGTGTTTACGTCTAATCGTCTTCACTAGCGTGCACAGGAATCTTGTTAAGGAGGGGCGATTTTTTTTCTATGGTGCATTTAATCTGGGGATGGGGAGTGCTCCAAAGTGCGTGGTGGATGGTGTTGTCCTCCTACCACCGTTTCCCTACTGTTCAATTTAGCTAATTTTATTTATTTTTTGCTCCAGTGGTGGTTCATCTTCTGCAAAGCAAACTGCTTTCAGACAGCCAATTGAATTAGCAATTTAGTCCCATCGACAATGAGGATGATGATCGGTTCGTCAAATGGTTGCAATAGTAGGGCTTTAACCGAACTGATACATTTGCTGCAATGAAATATCCCAAGAAATAATTTGTAATCCCAACAGCTCTACTTTCATTTACCATAGAGCTGATTGGGAGCAATATCGAACATTTATGGAATATAACGTCGATCCAAACATTCCTTTGCAAACCAAAGATGAAATTAATTATGCTCTTGAATCTCTGACTACTTCTATAGTTGAAGCAAGAGCTGCCTCAGTACCAAAATGCGAGGTTAAATTCGATTCAATTATAATAGACGACGATCTTCAGCTCTTGATCCGTCTTAAAAATGTCCGTAGGAGACAATATCAAAGAACACGCGATCCTGCCATGAAAGTTATCTGGCGGGATTTGCAAAAACAAATTAAAAAGCGATTCTCTGCCCTGAGGAACAAAACTTTTGAAAATAATATTTCTAAATTAGACCCGAGTTCCAAACCCTTTTGGAAACTCACAAAAGTTTTGAAAAAACCTCAAAAGCCAATTCCAGCGCTTAAAGAAGGTGGTAAAATTTTGATCACAAATTTAAAAAAAAAGCTCAGAAACTTGCTAAGCAATTCGAGAGTTCCCATAATTTCAGTTTGGGTCTTACTAGTCCTATTGAGGATCAGGTTGCTCGCGATTATCTGAATATTTTCTCTCGGGAAAATATTTTTGATGATTCCTGGGGGACTGATTCGGACGAAGTAAGCTAGAATGATGAGAAATTATCTAGATGAACTAGAAATTATCCTCGGAATTCGCTTGAAATTTTGCTTAAAATCCCTTTGGAATTTCATTCCAAATTTGATTTTCTCGGTATTCTTTTCGAAATTATCTTGGAACTATCTGCAGGATATACTAGAAATTATCCTCAGAATTTTATTTGAATTCTCTCCAGAAATATTTTGGAACTGTCCTAAAAACTCAATATCCTTGAGGTTCTTATCGGAATGTTTTTGAACTTTCTTTCTCAGAACACCTTGGAACTGGAATTCCCCTAAAGTTTCAGAAGAATTTCCTCTGTATTCTCCAGAAATTCTTCCCAGAATGAGCTTGAAATTATCATTGGGATTCCTTTTAAATTTTCCTCACCATCCCTTTGGAATTTCATTCAAAATTTAATTCTCTCGGTATTCATCAAATCATCCCCAGACATCTTTTCTTTTGAACTGTCCTCAGAATTCAATACCCTTGAGGTTCTTCTCAGAAGTCAAGTTTAAGTTGTCCGTCCATTCATCAAAACGTTGTAGTTTTTCTATCCGAAATTTGCAATAAAGCTTGTCCCTCCATTCACCAGAACTGTGCAATTTTTTCATCAGGAATTTTTAATTCAGCTTGCCCCTCTATGCAGTAGACTGTTGCAAATCTTACACCAGAAATTTTTAATACAAACTTGCCCCCAGGTAATATTACACCAGAAATTTTCTGTACATTTCTTTTATCAGAGCGATGCAAATTTTGCACCAGAAATTTACAATAATGCATGCTCCTCCATTCACCAGAACGCTGCACCAAAAATTGTCAGTGAAGTTTGTTTCACCATGCACTTTTGTGGTGCAACTTTCAGGCTTTGCTTCTTCATGCACCAGAATGGTGCAAATTGTCCACCATAAATTTTCAATGAAGCTTGCATTTATCAGAACGATGCAAATTATGCACCAGAAAAATGAATAAACCATGCTTCTACATTCACCACAGTGTTGCGAACTTTCCACAAGAAATTTTCAGTTAAATGTGCACCTCCAAATTTTTAGCGTGATTCAATTTTTCCACCAGAGCTATTTATTTTGATTAGTCCCTCAATGCACCACCTTGATGATATTTTGACACCAGAAATATTTAATAAAACTTTTTCTTCGATTTACCACCATGAAGGTGAATTTCTCAACCTTAAATTTACCCTCTTCTTTAAACTCTCCATGAACCACCGTGAAAAATAAATTACACTAGAAATTTTTTCTATGCAATTTAATTGAAGTTTGTCCCTTCATGCACCTTTGTGGTGCAATGTTCAGGCAGCATCTCAAATGGTTTTCAGTGCTCTCATATTATGAAATGAAGTTATTTTACCTTCAAATCAAGTCAACAAGAAATTAAGTTATTTTATATCATAATTTTGTAAGTGTGGAAATAGAAATCTTATTTATAAAAGGTGGGGCAATTGCCTCACCTTGCCCCACCCTGTGCACGCCAGTGATCGTCTTGGTGTCTTCGGTGCACTAATTCCTTATGATGCAAGCAATAAGTGCTCCGAAGACATCAAAACAATTTGACGGAAACGTGCACTTTTATCACACTTTTTGCATTTTTGGGACAGTCCAGTTTCAAATGCAATCAGCAATATTGTATTCGAGAAAGAAGTGCACAACCAAGAAATGGAAAAAAAAAAACATTATGGAACGTATGCATACATTCCGTAACGCCAAAGTGGCAATTGTATTCATAGGGTAACTGTCTATATTCTATTCTATATATTCGTGTTGAAAATAAACGTATGTATTTGTTTTTGTTTGGTTTGACAGCTATGCGAACAAAATAACCATATTTTGAAATTATTTTAGTATTTTAGTGCTGGGTAAAGCAAAATAAAACGGATTGCAAAGAAATGAAAATAAAAAACCTACAAGGGACAGCCCAATGGGGTTGTACGCAATGATGACGTAGGACTACGTGGTATGATATAATAAATATTTTTGTTAACTGCAGCAAGAGCTTGTGTTTTGTGTAGGAATAGGAATTTTAGCGGGGTTCTCTCTGTTTATACTATTTACCATGACTATGATTGCCCTGAAAAGAACCTTTTAATATGAATTTTAGTTGGGACATGTTCAGAAAATTAACTCTTTTGTAAAATGTTGGTGGCCCTGAAAAGGGCCGATGGTAGTACAGGCTATACACAGTAACCAATGAGAAGTGAAAACATATGGTACCGGCAGAGCTGGTTGTCTATCTAACAGGTAGCTAACTGCGCGTTCGCATTATTTTATTCTCTGTTTGAACGTCAAGCCACAGATATAGTTTGTTACAAACGTTCGCAGA